TTAAGTGTATCAATACTAGTCATCACACAACGTGGCTGTTATTGTGTACAACATTCTCCTGGTTCTGCTCACTTCACTCAGCATCAGACCATATTAGTCTTTCCAGGTTTTTTCTGAAGTCAGCCTTTTCATCATTTCTTATAGCACAATAGTATTCCATTACATTCATACCACAACTTGTTTAGCCATTCCCCAATTTATGGGCTTCCTCTCAATTTCCAATTCTTAGCCACCACAAAAAGAGCTGTTATAAATATTTTTGTACATGTCGGTCCTTTTTCTATTTCTATGATCTCTTTGGGATATAAGCCTAGAAGTGCTATTGCTGGGTCAAAGGGTGTGCACATTTTTGTAGCCCTTTGGGTAAAGTTCCAAATCGCTCTCCAAAATGGTTGGATCATCTTGTAACTCCACCAACAATGCATTAGTGTTCCAGTTTTCCCACATCTTCTCCAACATTTATCATTTTATTGTTTTGTCATATTGGCCAATCTGATAGGTGTGATGTGGTACCTCAGAGCTGTTTTGATTTGCATTTCTCTAACCAATAGTGAGTTAGATCATTTTTTCATATGACTATAGATGGCTTTAATTTCTTCATCTGAGAACTGCCTGTTCACATCCTTTGACCATTTATCAACTGTAGGAATGACTTGTATTCTTATAAATTTGACTTAATTCTCTATATATTTTAAAAATGAGGCCCTTATCAGAGATGGTTGTAAAAATTATTTTCCAATTTTCTACTTTCCTTCTAGTCTTGGTTGAATTGACTTTGTTTGTGCAAAACCTTTTCAATTTAATGTAATCAAAGTTATCCATTTTGCTTTTCGTAATGTTCTCTTTCTCCTGTTTGGTCATGAATTCTTTTGCTCTCCATAAATCTGATAGGTGAACTATTCCTTGCTCTCCTAGTTTGCTTATAGTATCAGCCTTTATATCTAAATCATGGGCCCATTTTGACTTTATTTTGGTATATGGTGTGAGATTTTGGTCTATGCCTAGTTTCTGCCATATTCTTTTCCAGTTTTCCCAGCAGTTTTTGTCACAGAGTGAGTTCTTATCCCTGAATTTGGGGTCTTTGGGTTTATCAAATAATAGATTACTATAGTCATTGAGTACTGTGTCTTGCATACTTAACCTATTCCACTGATCCATGACTCTATTTCTTAGCCAGTACCAAGCAGTTTGGATGATTGCTGCTTTATAATACAATTTAAGATTTGGAATGGCTAGGCCACCTTCCCCTGCATTTCTTTTCATTAGTTCCTTTGATATTCTGGACCTTTTTTTCTTCCAAATGAATCTTGTTATTAATTTTTCTATCTCTATAAAATAATTTTTGGTAGTTTGCTTGGTATGACACTGAATAAGTAAATTAGCTTAGGTAGAATTGTCATTTTTATTATATTAGCTCTGCCTACCCATGAGCAACTGATGTTTTTCCAATTATTTAGATCTGACTTTATTTGTGTGAAAAGTGTTTTGTAATTGTGTTGATATATTTCCTGGGTTTGTTTCGGGAGATAGATTCCTAAATATTTTATAATATGTATAGTAAGTTTAAATGGAATTTATCCTTCTTTCTCTTGCTGGTGGGCTTTGTTGGTAATATATCAAAATGCCAATGATTTGTGTGGGTTTACTTTATAGCCTGCAACTTTGCTAAAGTTGTTTATTATTTCAAGTAGTTTTTTACTTGATTTGCTAGGATTCTCTAAGTGTATCATCATGTCGTCTGCAAAGAGTGATAGCTTTGTTTCTTCTTTGCCTATTCTAATATCTTCCATTTCTTTTTCTTCTCTTATTGCTAAAGCTAACGTTTCCAGTATGATATTGAACAACAGTGGTGATAATGGATATCCTTGTTTCACCCCCGATCTTCAGGCTCTTTTTTTGATCATTGCTTTCAGATAGCCTAATAATTTTTAAATTCTCTCTCCTGCATATATTTTCCAGGTCAGTTATTTTTCCAATGAAAATATTTCACATTGTCTTCTATTTTTTCATTATTTTGGTTTTGTTTTACAATTTCTTGATTTCTCATAAAGTCATTAGCTTCCAATTCCTCCATTCTAATTTTTAAGGAAGTATTTTCTTCACTGAGCTTTTGGACTTCCTTTTCCATTTGGCCAATTCTGCTTTTGAAGTCATTCTTCTCCTTATTGGCTTTTTGGATCTCTTTTGCTATTTGGGTTAGGCCATTTTTAAGGTGTTATTTTACTTAGTATTTTTTAGTTCTCCTTTAGCAAGCTGTTAACTTGTTTTCCATGATTTTCTTGCATCACTCTAATTTCTCTTCCCAGTTTTTCCTCTACTTCTCTCACTTGCTTCTCAAAATCTTTTTCTGAGGTCTTCCATGGCCTGGGAGTGATTCATATTTTTCTTGGAGGCTTTGGATACATGAGCTTTGATTTTGTTGTCTTCTTCTGGCTGTATGTTTTGATCTTTGTCGCCAAAGAAAAATTCTATGGTCTGACTTTTTTTTGCACAGCTTTCTCATGATCCCAGCCAATTACTTGAGTTTCAAACTCTTTGTTAAGGTAGGAGTGTGCTTCCAGCATGGAGAATGTACTGGCCCAAGCTTCAGGGGTTTTGTGCAACTGTTTTCAGAAATACTTCTAGGGACCTGTAAATTTTCAGTTCTTCCAAGGTGGTACTATACAGGGTGAGGTGTTTACTCCTTTACTGGCCTATTTTCTGGTCTATGAGTGACCACAAGTACTCTTTTCTGCCTTGGAACTGTGAGAAAGATTTCCTCTCCACTACAAGCTCTACCACACCAGTGTTCCTCCTCACCCCAAGACTACCACCCAGAACTGTGATCCAGATCCAAGCACAGGCAAAGCAAGAGATTCCTGCCTCAGCACCAGCAAAGAGATCTCTGCAACCCACCTCTGATCAGCCACTTGGCTCTGCCTCAGTATGTGGACCAGAAGCTCGCTGCCACCCCGGAACTCAGCCAGGACTGAGGCTGGGACAGAGCTTTTCTCTCACCGAGGTCATAGAGTTTTCCTACTGACCTTCTAAGTCGTCTTTGGTGTTTGTGGGTTGAGAAGTCTGGAAACCACCACAGCTACTCATGATTGAGTCCTCTGAGGTCTGCTCCAGGTTCTCTGAGGCCTAGTTTTTGCCTCCACACCCACACTCTGAACTGTGTTCCTTTCGTAGCCCAGCATAATAGACCTTTCCAATCAACCATCCAGGCTGTCTTGGGCTAGAAATTTGTTTCACTCTGTCTTTTTGTGGGTTCTGCTGCTCTAGAATTTGTTTAGAGCCATTTTTATAAGTATTTGGAGGGGTTTGGGGGAGAGCTCAAGCAAGTCACTGCTTTTACTCCACCATCTTGGTTCTACCCCTCCCTTGATGATTTTTTGAAAAATGCTGTTTAGGTGCCTTTTTTTTTTATCATGGCTTTCAGGTAGACCAATCATTCTTAAATTATCTCTCCTGGGTCTATTTTCCAGGTCAGTTGTTGTTCCAATGACATATTTTATATTTTCTTCTATTTTTTTCATTTTTTTGATTTTATTTGACTGATTCTTAATGTCTTTTAGAGCCATTAGCTTCCACTCGCCCAATTCTAATTTTTAAAGAATTGTTTTCTTCAGTTAGTTTTTGTACCTCCTTTCCCATTTGGCCAATTCTACTTTTTAAGGAGCTGTTAATCTTCAACGTACTTATTTTCCATTTAGCCATTGCATTTTTTTTAATAAATTGTTTTTTACAATCAATTTTTGTCCTTCTTTCTCCAAAAATTTTTAAAAAATCCTTCTTGAGCTCTTCCAAGATGGCTTTTTGGGTTTGAGACCAGTTTATATTCCTCTTTGAGGTTTCAGATGTGGATGTATTGACAATGTTGTCCTCTTCTGAATTTGTGTTTTGAACTTCTCTGTCACCATAATAATTCTCTATGGTGAATTTTTTTTTGTTGATGTTGCTTTTTGCTAATGGTGTTTGTCTTTTTCATAGCTTTTAAAGTTGATCTCTGCTTCTGGGGCACAGGTGGCACTGTTCCAAACTTCTTATGTTGGGGGCCAAGGACCTGGTCACTGACTTTGGGTGCTGGGGCCTCAAGTGCTGGCAACTGGAGGCTATAGGGATCTGGTAGCTTACCTGGTGCTGAGCTGGATATGGTGGTGGTGGCTGGTGTATGCTGAGGTCAGATGGTGTTTTTCTGCATTTCCCTGTAGTACCCTGAAGTTCACAGTGTGGGAGTGGGTGTCTGGCTAGTGGATGATGCCTGCTCACCCAGAGCTGTGCTGAAGTGTGAGGAGGTCCTGCTGTTGGAGGATGCCTGCCCACCTGCAGTTATGCTGAAGGATGGGAAGGTATGGCTGCTGGAGGATGCCTGCATGCCAGTGCATGTGGTGGTTCTCTCAGCAGGAGTCTGCCAATTCCCTTGGTGGTGCCAAGGCAGAGAGGTGGGACTGTCTTGGTGTTGGCTTTTACTTGCTCCACCATCCTGGGCCTCAGGATCTCCTGCTGGTTTGCTGAGACGGCGCTTGCCACTGACTTGCTGGGATACCTCCCATCATGTATTGCTCCCCTTCCACCAGAGCAAGAGGCACCTTTCCCATTGATACCCCAAACCTCCCGGGCTAAAAGACTGCTGCACTCAGTCTTCCTGCTGGCTCCACTGTTCCAGAATTTTTCCTGGGGTAATATTTTCTAGGTTTTTTGATGTCAATAAGGGAGGGTCAGAGTGGCTCACTTCTTACTCCACCGTCTTGGTTCCTGGAAGTTCTATTGGCCATGGGTTTTTTGGCTTAATTCATTGATCAAGTTTAATTTTATTCAATTCAAATGAAAATGCAACACAGCATGGTAGGTATCAGCTACCTATCACATGAAGGTCTTGTACTAGGTGCTGAGAATAGAACAATTAAAATTAAAGCAGTAGTTATGCTCTGGGGGTAAGTGTGGGGTACATTCTACTGGGTATACTCTGCCTTGCCTTTTTTGCTTTTCAGTGACTCTTTTGAATAAACTAAATTTACCTTGTCCTTTGACTACATCTTCAAAGACGGGTATAATTCCTCTCTCTGCAAAACCATCTCCTTGATCAATTAGAGCTTCTTTTACGATGTTATATCCGTGTAGCACCACAACATGCTGGGTTCCAATATAAAGAGTATAAATAGGGCCATATTTTTCAGCCATCTGTGAAAAGAATGCCAAGAAATAGGAAAAGGTTCAGTGTGGCAGTTTAATGGTGAAAGACTTTCATCCAACACCTTGGGAAGTATTTCCTTGGAGTTAGGAGGGGGAAGAAGATAAAACCATGGTCTTCCCTAAGCCTGATTGTAGTTTCTTTCCCTCAATCTTTTGGTTAGAAGAGGTCCTCTTGAACTTCTAAAGGTATAAAAGATGTTAGGACTTCCTATAAGCTTCCTGGCAGCCTTATTGGAATAACTGGTGGTAGTGTCTACCTCATGACTAAAGGACATGACATGATAAAGAAAGGCAGCTTCAAGGCTCTACAAGGAGCCCAGCAGAAAAACCGTGCAACACTTGAGAAGAAAATCTTAAGGACTTCATAAAAAGGCCTTTCAAGAATGTGAGTTTTCCCTTTGCCAGATGTATATTCTTGAGCCCATTTCACCCTGATAACTATTTATATAGTTATCAGAAAACTTGCCACAGATTCATAAGGAAATGTTTCATATTGAGAATTCTTTTTATACTACCCTTTCCCAAAAGCAAATAAAGTCTGGCTGACTGTTGATATTAATCAATAATCATGGTCAAGCAGACCAGTAGGGGATCATGAGCTGTTAGTATTAGAAAAACTCCCTCTAATTCCTCAGGACTACAGCTAGAATGTGTGGGAATAAGAGGTAGCCAAGTCCTGGAGACCCAGTCTGCTAGGGCAGGTAGGGGTTGAAAGGATAGGTCCAGATCATGGGAGACAAATATGAAAAAAACAGATGTGGAAACAGTATATGAAACTATGAGCTTCTGTTATATACAAATGGGTAGGGTTGATCAGTATTATCAATTTCATGTGATAGTAACAAAACTGCCCTGTTTCCTATGTCCTTTTCTGGGTTATCAGAAAAAAAATGTATTCAATTAGCATTTTTATAATTTGAATTTCACCAAAAATTTGTGGAATTGTTTTGCTTGTTACATAAATACCTATATAATGTCTGTGATTTTGCCTTTTGGCCTGCAAAGCCTAAAATATTTACTATCTGGACCTTCATGTAAAAAGTTTGCTGACTCTTGCTCTGGGCTACCAAGACCTAACTTTGTTGTACACTTGAAAATGTTAGTTAATTCAACCCAAAATTCCAAGGCAAAACAGTGCTTATATGAACCTTATACTGCAGTAAAATCAGTTGAATGAGCACAGTATTTTATGCACAAGTAAAATCAAGCAGCTTCATACATTTTCTGTGATTTCAAAAGTAAAAAAAGGAGGAGAAGGAGGAGGAGGGGGAAGAGGAGGAGGATGAGGAGGGGGAGAAGAAGAAGAAGAAGAAGAAGAAGAAGAAGAAGAAGAAGAAGAAG